ATTATATATTTCTTTGGCTGTAAATAGTTTGCATAAATATTACAGTTTTTTTTTTTTTAAGAAAAAAGGGAAAGAGAACATTCCTTTTGAAACATTCTAGAAATGTTTCTCTGGTAGCCAGTGCCCTGTGATGAAGGCCACAGAGCTTCTGGTTTTTTTCTCATCACAGGAAACACTATGCGAACTATGTACTGTATCTATATTACATATTATCTATCTCTCTGGCTGTGGATAGCTTGCATAAATATTACCGATGTGTTATAGATCAGAAGTAATGCTGCTGTTTGGTCCTGTTTTCCCCAGTAACTTAGGATCAATTATAAGAGACCTTTGGTTATTGTGGGCGGCATATAAGTTAAATAAATAAATATTCATGATGGCAAGGGGATTTTTTTTCTCATCACAGGAAACACTATGCGTACTATGTACTATATCTATATTACATATTATCTATCTCTTTGGCTGTAGATAGCTTGCATAAATATTACAGTTTTTTTTTTTTTAAGAAAAAAGGGAAAGAGAACATTCCTTTTGAAACATTCTAGAAATGTTTCTCTGGTAGCCAGTGCCCTGTGATGAAGGCCACAGAGCTTCTGGGAATTGTGACCTACATTGGGGGAAGGGGTGTGCTATGGCGAAGTGTTTTTTTGCTTATGTACCACCCCATAGAACTTAAAGCACTCTCTGGGCAGTTTACAATTTAATTATGAAGGCTACATATTGCGCCCCCTCCCAACAAGCTGCATACTCTTTGTACTGACCTCAAAAGGATGGAAGCCTCAGTCAGTTTTGAGCCTGCTGCCTGATCCCATCGGGATCAAATTCGGGTCATGAGCAGAGAGTCTTGACTGCAGTACTGCAGCTTAGCCACTGCGCCAGGAGGTTCTTATCACAAATATATCCCTTGTAGTTCTTGCTTCTGCAGCTCTAGGTGATATCCAGATATAACAAATCTGAAGCTGCAGGACGAGGTCAGGCTTATAGATGGGCCCATGTAATAAGTGACTGAGAATCCCCAAGCAAGAGTAGTCAATCAGTGACATGGTGTCCATGGTGGGGTGCTGCCTGGGTCTGTTGGAGTTTTCTGATACTTCCTCTTGCATTATACCCTGCTCACTGCTGCAGGTCCATTCTTTCCTAGTCCTTCCTGCTGCAGGTCTTATCTCAAAGTGTCTATATGTGTAAAAGGAAGTATCGGAGCATATATCAGAAAAGCCGTTGCACATCTGACCTAAAATATGCTCTGTTCCTATCTACCCTTCTTATTCGACAAGAATAGCCAGGATTAGCGGCAGTGTTATCATTGTTCAATAAGGAAGCACCTACAGAGGACGAGTGGTTTGGGGAGAGATGTGTTTCAGCGTTAAGAATGATGCTTGAATCAATGTCACTTGTTTCACCTTATAGTATAGGTCCATATCAATGCATTATCTCTTGATTTACTGACTTCTCATTTTGCTCCTCAGCCCTAGATGATGCATGGTCAGTTCTTAGTGTCATAGAATCTGCATTAAACAACCACAAGAAAAGGCGAGGAATTGGCACAGTAGTAGCACAGGTAGGATCGATGAGGAGTGA